CTCACGAGGAAGTTGAAGAATGCAATGAGGTCTCCCCTCAGTCTCCTCTTCTCTAGGCTGAAGAAACCAAATGGCCTCAGCCCCTCCTCATAATGTTTTCATTGTCAAAATTTTTCATTATGCAGTGTAGATTGAGACCTAGGTATCACAAAAGAAATTTCTAAAGGTAGATGCTGTCTTGAACACATTCAGACTACAAAAGATAAAGGGGTACGAAGCTGAAAATTTATGAACATCTTTAATTTGTTTGATGTCTACAAATACATTTCCATTTTTTTATCTGCTTGTTTGTTTTAATACAACTACAATAACAAACTGATGGTCAAGTCAAAATGCATTCACTTCAAACTATAATGCTATATTTTTACCTGCATAAGCAAGAAGAAGATAATGTCTCTTTTCTGCCAATGCACTCTCATCTTCCTTTTTAGCTGCATTAAGAAAATTAGGAAAAAATTTCCTTGCTTTTCTAGAAAATAAACATTTTCTTCAGGCCTTTACAGCTTCTCATAGACAGATGAGATCACATCAGAGATGGTCGCAATTTTCATGTGTCCTCTTTCTCCCTCAGAGAAAGATCCATGAATATTAACCATCCCAGTAGAAAACCCTGTGTTGTTCTTAATAAACCCAAGACTTCCTTCAGTCACAGAGCTGTCCATTATCTGGCATTTCATTCTGTGTACATAAAGTTTTGTTTGGTTATAATTTGAAATACATTGCATTTGTCTTTCCTGAGTGAAGTCCTCATATTTAACATTCTAGAAACCTTGACAGAAATTCTGCTATGTAAGGGACAACCAGAATATAGAAGGGAAACACAATGTTAAAATGGTAGTTTGTTAGCATAAAGAAGTTTCAGAAGTTTCACGTTCTTTTTCAGCTTGGCTCATTTTCCTCTGTGGTCCCATTCGATCACTTTATTGGGTGCCATTTGGACCCATCAGTGTTTGAAAGTCTTCATTATCCTTTCTAGCTTTCTGACATTGGTTTCCTCCTTTACATTCACATACTGTAAATATAGCTCTGTCCAGGACAAATTCCATTTAGCAGACATTGCTTGACAGCTCTAGTAAATTCAGAATGATCTATTCATTCATCAATATGCATGTACAATTTCCATTAAGCTCAATAAAATTTGTGTACAACTGTAATAACTGGAGTCTTTTAACACTTTAGTGTCTTACTAATTGCCAGGGAGGTTTCACCAGTAGACTGAGGTGTCTCCACAGTTTCTAAGGGTCTGGGAGTGTTGATCATTCCCCTGTACTCAGACTGGTGAGGCTGCACCTTGAATCCTTTGTTCAGTTTTGGGTGCCTCACTGAAAGAGACATAGAGGTGCTGGAGGATTTCCAGAGAAGGGCAATGGAGCTGGTGAAGGGTCTCAAGAGTAAGTCATATGAGAAGCAGCTGAGGGAGGTTGTTTAGACTGAAGAAAAGGAGGCTCAGGGAGACCTTATCACTCTCTAAAATATCTTGAAAGGAGGTTGTAGCCAGGTGGGTGCCAATCTCTTCTCCCAAGTATAAAACCAATAGTTCAAGAGGAAATAGCCTCGAATTGCAACGGGGAGGTTTAAATCAAATATTAGGAAAAATTTCTCCACAGAAACGGTTGCCAAATATTGTAACAGGCTGCTCAGGGAAGTGAGGAAGTGGTTGAGTCACCGTCCTGGTAAGTATTTAAAATATGTGTAGATGGGGCACTTGGGGACATGGTTTAGTAGTGGACTTGGCAGTACTGGGTTATTGGTTGGACTTGATGAGTACAGGTCCCTGTTGATCTAAGTTGCAGACACTTGACAGTTGCAGTATAGGGGTGCTAAAGCTTGTAGTTGCCCTGCTGAGACTGCAGGACTGTCTCACAGCTTGCTTAGAAACATCCTCACATTTACACTCTGGAAAGGAAAGGTTAGGAGAAAGAGTAGAAGTATCTAATAACTTTATATCGTGGCCTAAGACAATTTGACCATGCTTTCATTGCAAAGGTTAATATATTCAACTTGGATTTGTTGAATCATGTAAAGTAATATTTCACAACACCCTCCAGGAAAAAGAAAAAAACTAAAGAAGAGTATATAAGATGGTTAGCTTGTTTTATAGGACCAAAGAATGCCCGAAGATCTTTGTAATGATTTTTGTGTGACAGAATCAGTCAAAGTTAATGATTTTGCAGGCCTCAGTTGTGGTTATATTAAAAATAATTGCATTACCCTTGCACAACTCATTTCTGTTGCTACATAGTTTAAATATTTTATGCAGTTTTTAAGGCCTGATCCTATTCCGAGGTGGGGAAAAATGCAATAATCTGTGCCATTTCTTCCGCCTCAAACCACAAGGAAACTTTCTACTATCACCATTATTGAGATATTCATCAATCAACCTGCTGAATCTTCCTGTTTTGAATTACCTGTCTTATCCTTTATAGCCGTTTTTTAAATGTGTACCTACTTGTGATCAATTTGAGTACGTTTTTGAAAACCCCAATCAGCATATGCTAAAGAAGTGTGAAGTCTGAACAACTCAAATTTTTGTCCTGTGGAGGACTTCATGACCTGAGCGATGCACAAGTATCTATGCATAAAAGTATAAATGGTGATGGCCAAGTTTTGTTGTTGTTGTTGTTGTGCTTGTTGGAAGGGCTTTAAGAAGCAGAAATTTTATGTTAGAAAAATGGTCTGCTGAGCCTTTAAATACTAACTCAGAGAAGCTGCTTATTAGTTATTCAGGTGAATAAGAAAGACCAATGAATACTGAAAGGGTTTCAAGAGCTCAGAATGAAAGTGGTAGGATTTTTTCCATGAATATATGCAGTCAGTTTGTGATACTATATCAGCTCTATCACTTCAACTATAGCTAAAGAACAGAAAATGTAGGTTTATAAACTTGAAAAATTGTGGGATATAGAGCATGAGGAGAACAGAAGATGTGAACAAGAAAGAAGTTATGGAAAGAGGCAATTTTGAACCAGTTTAATGACACTAATTATTATTTGATTCTTACTTAATTCCCAGAAAACTCACACATGGACACTCACATATGATTACTGGACTGTAAGTCCAGTATCTGTGGGTTATAAGGAATGGGGAGGGCATGGCAGAGGCCTCAGGATGATGCAGAGAAGAGGTAACAGAGTCTCTGTGGGAATATTTATTCTTTCAACAACAGAGATAAGTATAGTAAAACCACAATAATAGTGCACTTTTTCATTTCATATTTGCTACAGACACATTTGCAATATTTCTATGAAAGCATTTAAAATATGAATGTATTAATACTCGATATGGACAAAACAAGGGAGGGAAAGGCTCAAGGAGGAAAAATTATGGCAGTTGGACAAGATTACAGAAACACTTTTCCCAGGACTGGCATTTAAGCTTTATCCCGTGCTGTGCTCAAACCTCTAGGCCACAGCTCTCCCGGGATATCACATATTACGTATGGATGAGCTTTCAAAGTGACCTAAAAGATAGGCACTGTACTCTCTCTGAAAGGCAATAGGATTGAGGATCTTAATATCCCAAGGCCTTTCTGAAAATCTCATCTTACACACAGTCTTAACCACTTCATCACAGTCACTAAATAACAGCAGGTACTTGTTAACAGCATGTGTATTAGTCACTGAAAATAATTTATCCCTGCTTTGGGGCTCCTCTAAAGAAATTATACCTCTCCATTTCTCAGCCTTCTCTATATAACACCTGAGAAATAATTGTTTTCATTTTTCTTTGCCTCATTGATTGTAGAATAAATAATCCATGAATAACTCCCTACCCTCATTATTCTACCGCATCTGGTGAGCAATAACTTTTGGTTCAGCTGTTTAAGGGCAATGGCAAGAGGGATGAAGAGGGATGAGAAAGACCAGTCAGACTCTTGAAATCCCTAAACCATAAGGCTGGGATATGGCCAGGTTGTCTCAGTCATCTCTTGTACGTGAAAACCGTAGTGATACTTTAATGCAGCTTGCTTCCTGGCTTGCTCTCGGAGTGAGAATTAATTACCGAATGGCAACATCTGCATTAGCGGCTCCTGCAGCCCCAGCTCTCTGCGGGTGGGATGGTGCTCACCCCCCCAACCCAGAACTAGGACCGCTCGGAGGACTTGCCTGCTGGCTGCCTGGCTCGGATCCCGGCAGGCCGGAGCTCGGGGAGCCGCTTACCCCGGCGGTGTGCGGGGGAATGGTGCGGAGGGAGGCAGGAGCTGCCGCGGGGGCGCGCAGGGGCGCCGCGCCTCCGCATCCAGTGACACCGGCACCGGCCCCGCTGCCCCTGGCTCCGCTCCGGCCCCGATCCCCATCCCCGCACTGCCCACGGCCCTGGCCCCGGCCCCGCTCCGCCCCGACCCCGTCCCCGATCCCCGCCGCCGTCCCCCAGCTTTGCCTCTGAAGCAGGCAAGGGAGGACGACTGTGGTCCTGGAGGCCCAAGGGGCGCAGAGGAAGAGGGAGGAGCTGGAGGAAGCAGGGGGAAGGGGAGGGGAGCGCTGGGGAGAGGATTTTCCCTTCTTCTGCCTTTTTTTTTTTTTTTTTTTTTTTTTTTTTATTTGGAGGAGGAGGAGGGAGGTTGTTGCTGCTGCTGGTGGCAGGCAGGTTCCTCCTGCTGGAAGATGATGAATACATGAGGAGAGAGGCTCTGAGCTTGCTTCTGTGCTGCGGGAGTGTCTCTCTGTCCCTCCCTCCCTCTGCCTGCTCCTGTGTGAGTGTGTGTTTGGCTCCCCGGCTATGTGTGCGTGTACACTGTGTATATATATCTGAGCTGGGAGGTTATTGCAAGCTTCTCTCAGCAGCGCTGCTCTGTACAGGAAGAAGGGCTCAGCTGCAGTGGTAGCATCAACAGCAGCATTAGCGGCACCAACTGCTATTTTTGCCTTTCTTCCTTCCTTTCATCTCCATCTCCCTTTCCCCTCCCACCCCACACGTCTTTTGGGGGATTGCTTTTGTTGGTTTTTTTTTTTTCTTAATTTTTCTCTTCTACAATCCTCCTTATTTCATACTTCGTGGCTTTTTTCTGCTTCTTCTTTTCCCCCCCCTTCCTCTGAGAAGGAGGGACAGACACAAACACAGAGAAATAAGGGAAAGAAAAGTACCGGGACTGATCGTGCTGCTGCAAACCCAAAGATAGCAGGTGAAGAGGGGGTTTGGCTTCTACCCCAAGGTAAAGCCCTGCCCCCTTTACCTTCTCGCCACCTCCTCCGAGAAGGAGAAGGAGAGAGAGAGAAAGGGCCAAAGTGGAGAAAAGCAGGTCTTCTGCGGCTGGCATTTGGAGTACAGGGAGCCAGGAAGTGAAGGATGGTTGTGGTTACCCGAGCTGGCTGCAGGGCAGCTCTCTTCCTCTGGATTTTCAGCAGCATTAGCTGCAGAGCCAGGACTGCTCTGCCTGCATCTCGTAAGTAACCTTTGCTAAGAAACATGCACAATTTCACTTCTGCAATAAACTGGAGGGAAATTCCCACAACTCCGAGGTTGATTTTTTTCTTTGCTGATGAATATCGTGTTTGATTTTTCTTTGTATTCTCTTCTGTGTGCACTGAGGTTTGATGCTGTTTGCAGTGCTCCCCATCAGATCTTCCTTGGTGTAGATGATTTCACTGGTAGCTGGTGTGGAAAGTTGAAAGACTTGCTCTGTGATATAGTCTTGGTTCTGCAATGGAGTCAGAGGGGGAAAGGAATCAGCAGCTGTTCAAAGTTTGGGGGCAGTTTTTGTTTGGCTTATGGTTTGGTTTGTTTTTTCCCACCTTTCTCAGAAGGTATGCGATTTGCATTTGGAAGTACTTCCCTTCCACAGTTTTGGGAGATAAAAGAGAAGATGTGAGCAGTTTCCATAACTAGTGTTTTATCGAGGAGCAGCAAGAGAAAATTCTGTCTCATTTGAAGAGGAAAGAATGTTTGTGAGTTGATGAGAGGGAACTGAGACAGGACAGCTTTTCTTGAGAGTGAAGTTTGGCTGCCCATAATAAAATGAGCAAATGTATTTTAGAGAAGACCAGCTGCCTCCTAGGGAGGCAGTAATAGTAGAGAAATGATCAAGCATCTGCTGAAATGCTGAACTTTCAGACCAGAGAATTGCAAAACCCTATACAGGATCCAATTCTTCTATCAATGTAAAAATGACAGCATATTCATTGATTTCAATGGGTATTAGATCAAATCTTTAACAGTGCATTGAGCTGTAGTTCCGAGCAAAACATTTGCAGGTAGATGTCAGTGTTAAGTGTTTAGTTGTTTCTCTTTAGACCATGTAAAACATTTGCCATTTCCAAAGTGTTTTTGACATGCACACTGAAATGAAACAGTGTATTTTTATAGAGAAGTCAGAAATAGACGCTTCTGCTGGCTCCCTCGGCTGTTCACAGAGGAAAGAAGTGTCCTGAGATGTTACAGATAGATGTGTTGGGATTGTGTATATGTGAATGGACATTGATTCTACTGACCAAGCAGGGAATTGTCATAGAATGTAATGTATATACTGCATAGAGATCTGTGTAGATCACTTTATTTATTTATTTATTTGTTTGTTTGTTTCCTTGTGGGCAGGACTGAACAATGCAATGATTAGGGAACTGGAGCACTGCTATACTTTCTCAGTGGGTTTCTATCTGTTATGATCTGATATCTATTGAAAAATAAAACAATGTTATTGTTCCAGGATTTGCTTGCACTGTATTTGTTTGTGTGTCAACAGAAAATGCAGAGCAATGTCTACATTGCATGTAGGTCTCAGAGGCTATAGGATGTTCAGTTATTTTCTTACCTTTGATGTAGGAGAAATATTGATCCTGAGGTTTACTGCTTAGTTTTGATCAGCTATCTAATTTTTCTTAAGAATATTATTTCTTCGTGGTCATGTCTCAGGCTCTGCATAATAGGAATGTCTGGGGACAAAGATTTATGATTTAGATTGCCAGAAATTTGTTCTTGGAAAACCAAGTTCCCTGCTATTAATAGGGTTTCTGAGCTTTTTTGTTTGTTTTTGTCATTCAGTAAGTAATGGCTGTAGTTTAAGTTGAAAATGACATACAATGGGTTATCTGATTACCCAACAAATAAATCTTTAACTTTTGAAATTAGTTAGTTGAGAAGTTAATGGTTGTATATATCCCTTATTCCTGGAATTTCCGATTACAGTGATATTAATACAAACTTAATTACAATTTACTCATATACATTCCCATCTTGACAGATATTCAAAGATTTCCGTATATTAATTCACCTCCCAAGAGCTTATACACTATGCTCCTTATGTATTAAGTAGCATTTCATTTCTGACTCACTTCTGAAAGTGAAATGGAGCTAGATTTGTTTACTGGAAACAGAAATATAGCTAGAAGTACACGTCAGCCTTAAAATTACAAAAGGATTGTTCACATTGCAGTACATGCTGAAAATTCTTGTAAAGGCTTACTGGTGCTTGGGAAGGGGTACTACAGTGGGAACTCAAGTGCTGTGTCACAGTAGTTTGGTGCACCACTTCACTGATTATTCTGTTGCATGCTTTGCTATACAAACTCATCATTGTGATGTATTTTGTGAATGTGCTATATTTTCTGGGGTTGTTTGTAACTTTGAATGCAACTGATTGTGAATGGCATTGGAGAGTTTTGTTTTCTGTTGCCAAGATACTGCACTTAGCTTTTTATCTCTCTTTTTTTTTTTTTAAATTCCTTATCAGTTGATTTTGAACATCATATTGGGAATACTTCTGACAGAATTAAAACCTGTGCGAAATGCAACTTTGATGTAAAACTTATTTCCAACCAGAATTTCATTTTATCCTCCATTGTTACTTTATGTTTTGACTTTGAAATAATTAAGAACAGCAAGATTATTCTTTACAGTATTTTTAGGAAATATGCAAGAGTTATGTTGTACAGTGAATTACAAATCCTTATATATGATCTTGCTATTCAGTATTTTCCTATAGTCTGCTAGTGCTGGTGTAGAAAAAATACAGTTTTCAGAAAGAATAGAATTGGATGTCATTTATGTGAATATACTGCATCTCAACTGTTTGTTTACTTTGCAAAGCAAGTAAGTCTATCTCTGTCATTAGAATGGTGTCTCAGCAATACTGATTCAGAAGTGATCGTGTTGAAAGCTTTTAATCTCATTCAGTTCTATCTCAAGATGAAGTAGGTGTTGAAAGCCCATCTTGTAGTACAATAAACATACACTGTGATACAGTATCACACACACTAATGCTCAGATCTTACTGTAAATTCTATTTGTGGTCATGTTTTCATACCTTGGCAATAAATTCTTCATATTCCTGCAATTTTTTTGTAATAAGCATAGAGGGATGAAAACACTCAACTTTTGGAGTCAAGGCTAATGAACAGCTCAACCAGGAGAGGTCATCACAAGATAAAAAGTAACATGGAAAATACAGATTTAGTTCTTTATAGTCTTTTACATGACTAAGATGGAATGATAAGAATATGAATATGGGTAGACTAACTTTCATTTGTATTTGTGCAAAAAAACTGAAAACACACAAAGCAGCAAACTTGTTACTTTATGAGAATGTTAAAAATATTCATTATAGGATCATCTGCTTCTGTGTGAAAGCAATTCACTTAAAAAGTAATTATTTTTCACAGCTAGGTTTTTGATTTTGTTTTTGTTTTGTTTGGGGTTTTTTTATGGTTGGTTGGTTTGGTTTTGTTTGTTTTTGTTTTTTTTTTTAGTTGTGTACATTTTTGTGCAATGCAAACGTGATCAGTACAGAACTATCAAAACTTCTAGTTCTGATGCTTTTCATACTTTTGCAGTAGGTCCCATACAACTGCTGAAGTTTGAACCCATTTTACAAGAATTGATGCAGAAATCAAATGGGGGGGCAGGTATAGTAAACCATTAAGATATATAAAAGCAAAAATATGCATTCTCTTTTACCTCTTGCAATAATATGGTGTAAAACACAAAGAGTACTTCAGTAAGTGGTTCGGTCTGCAAGAAAGTTTGAAAGTGAAGTTAAAGGCTATGAATTGAAAACTTGTTTCTGAACATTGGCTGCTTCTCTTGCAAGGAGATAAGTATTTTTTTATTTTCTCTCTTTTTTTTCCTCAGGCATTTTTAACACATTTGAAAGCCTATATCAGTTGATGCAGCTGTGACAGGAAATTCTTTATATATAATGTATTAGTCAGACATTAAAACTGTACATCTTCTTGAATAAGTAACATTACTGTGTACCTATGGCAGACAGTAGATTTTCCTGTAGATGTTCCTTGGGAATTTCAGCTTGGATCTCTAAATATTACAAAGCATGAGATCTCATGTTCAATGTTTAGTATTTATTGCAGTATTTTAGACTTTTTAAGACTGTAATACTTTTAATGTTTTGGACAATAACAAACTATGCACAAACTATGGGAGTTTTCTTTTTCTACATATGCAGAAGATCTAGCTTTGAGTGATTTGGCTCATAGGTCAAACATAAGATAACTAGTTAAATCTTGAGGTTTGCCCCTACCAATGTCTTCTTCCTAAGTACCTGTCATACTTGGTCTTACGAAAGTATATGGACTCGCAAATTGTTTCAATCACTTCAGTTAGAAAACGTTAGAGAAGCAACATCAGTCTTCTTCATCAAATAAAATAATGAGTGACTTCATAATTTTTTTAGTCTTGAAAATATTAAAGAAGAAATTTAAAATTATTGCATTATTTCCAAAATCCACATCAAGATGGAATCTTTCTTTAAAAGATCAGAAGGACCTGTGGGACAAAAAGGGCAGTCCGGTAGCTTGAGTCTTCTCCCACTGAAGGAAATATAAGTTGTGCCATGGATTTTAGGAGCAGTGTGGTTAAGTTTTTTGTCAGTGAGAAGTTCATGATTCAGTCCATTGGTATGAGATACTAGAAATGATTAAAAGGTTCTTCAGACTTCAGCCTTTGAACTAACATTGATTTTATCTGTATTGCATTTCATTTATTCAGCTGCTTCATTGGCATTGCATAGGTAGATAATCCGAGACCACTGGCCAATTGCAGAACATGTTAAATCTCTAAATTTGATGCTGTAAGAAATTACAGTAATCAGTAATCAATTCCTTTGAGATGTTTGCCGTTCCAACTTTGAACACATCACAGATACAATAAAAATATTTTCAAGTCCGATGTTTAACATTTATGAAGAACTTGGGCTCTTGGTTTTAACAGCTCTGCAATTTTAAAAGCAACTTAACAAAGCTGAGACTTTTCCTGCCTAAGAAATTGTCTCAATGTTCATTCACTGTTGTAGTAGCCAGCCTTTTCTGATTTCGTCTTTAAGCCTGAACAACTGATAATTCAGAGCAGAAAAGGATATTGACATTCACATTTACCTCTTTCCTCTACCTAAAAAAGTCTAGAGATTTTTTGGCTTTACAGTCTCATGGTGGAGAG